TATGAGTGTCACGGCAAAGGGTCTGAATACTTATGACCATGTGATATTTCAGTTTTTCTTTTTTAATAAATTTGCAAAAATTTCTACATTTCTGTTTTTTTCTGTCAAGATGGGGTGCTGAGTGTACATTACTGAGAAATAAAATTAACTTTTTTGATTTTTGGAAAATGGCTGCAATGAAACAAAGAGTGAAAAATTTAAAGGGGTCTGAATACTTTCCGTACCCACTGTATTTTTATTTTATTTCAGGGTGGAGCTGTGTGTCTGACGGACTTCTGTGGGCATGGCCCTACATTGGGAATCTACCTGTGCCGTCATGAACCTAATGGGCCCTCTGATAGGGGACACCATTCTCCAAACCTGACCTAATCCTGTGCAGATACTCAGCAGCTCAACCAACCCATTCTCATCTCAATGCGTCATAACTGACTCTTTCAGACAGCGTGACAAAGCGTGAGTGAGTGTCTTTTTTTATGCTGCTAAATATTCAAATCCTTCACTGCCTTTATAATTACATATATATTCAGGTTGTGTCTAAAGCATAGCACATGGACAATTTCTAAAGCTCAGCTTTCTTCTTATTAATGACTTGAGCAGCCATTACATATGAATAATAAAGTAATCAACAGAGATTTCACTCTCTAAAATTCTACCTCCCTGCTGTGGACTGGAGCCAAGCACCCAGCATATTTGGGAGGGCAGGGTGCCTTCATGGTCATATGCAGACTGTGGCGGAGATGTTTAGCTGGATGGCGCTGATCAGTGTCATGCTCTTCTTTGCAGACTTTGTGGGGGAGGGATTATAGCGCCAATGCAGAGCCACACTGGCAGGAAAGAGAACACTATGATGAAGGTAGGGTACTTCTTTAGCCCTGCTTATTCAGGTTTAACTCAACCAAGGAGATTGGTTTGCCTTACAACCACTTCATTTCTGTCTGTCCAGGTGTGTGTATGGCCAGTCTGGGTCTCTTCCTGCAGTGTGTGGTGTCGGTGCTGTGTTCTGTGCTAATGGACTGCTGGGTCACTCTGCTATGAGCCAGGGTGTAGCTCTATTGGCATGAGTGTCTCAGACAGTGTGATAACTGTCGCTGTGATGGCGGCTGTGACAGGATACTCACTTTGCGTCATTCAGGTCTTGCCATACACTCTACTGTGTCTCTATCACTCAGATACAATAGACACGTAAGCTGGTCTTCCACCCACATATTTGAGTGTTCTGCATAAAATACTAATAATTTACATGCAAACACGCAGGGAAGAGTCCGTTTTCACACCTTTTCATAATGACTCTAATATAATTAGAGTTTACTAAGCCATATATCTAAGAATACTCCATATAACTCTTCATTTTCATAATTGTTTCAGCTAATATTAAAAATCTAAATTATATTAAAGCAACAATGCATAATTGTTAAGATTGTAGGGTTTTCAAGTTATTCTGATGGTATATGTTTTTTTGATAAATAAAAAATAGACTTTATTAAAATTGGTGCAGTGCTTTCAGTCCTTTCATCCAAGCTCCACAGCTGCATGCATTACTGTTTGCCGATGTATTTTTTGACAGTTACACCTGGGGCACGTCAGAAAGTTTCCAATTCTACACAAAGAAACTAGCAATTACTAGTTACTTTGTAGAACCTTAAATATCCAACGAAGGTTAAAGTCAAGGGCAACTGGACTTGGTTAAAGATTCCAGTTGCCCTTGACTTTAACCTTCGTTGGATAACTATGACCTGGATGACTGAGAATCTTCATAGACATCTGTAGAACCTTAAAGCTCAGTAATTAGAGTGATGTTTTATTTCTTGGCGACCTCACCGTGACAGTGGATCCAGGAAGTCACTACACTTTTCAGTTTGTATCAATTAAATAAAAGAGACACGTCTTAATTAGTGAGCACTAGAGGTGTTGTTAGGCAGATATTTTGATCTTTGGAGACAACTAGCCTGGCTGTTTCCCCTTTATGCTAAGCTAAGCTAATTGCCTCCTTGCTTCAGCGCTAGTATTAACACGCACAGATAAGACTTGTTTTGATCTTTTCATCTCAGACTCAAAAAGAAAGCTTTGTTCTCAAAATGTGGATCAATACTTTAAGGACAGCATATTCTATTCTCCACTACATTACTAATTACACATGCAAGTTTCTTTATCTGAGATGTAATGACAGTTATTAATCTCCATTTATCTTCCTTTGCTCATCTCACATCCTTCTCTCTCCAAGGCTTTTTTCACTTCATCCAATCCCAGACTCCCTCAGCTCAGCCAAAATGACAACATAGACACATCCCATGTGGTCCAGCCACTCCTTATGCTAAAGGTCACATAAGGGGACTGACTTTACCTGGGGAAGAGCCCTCCCTTGTTTCCTCCTCTGTTTGTGGGTTGACGCAGCCAACAGCACACCAGTTTCACAGAGAGGGATGTGTTTTGACATGGCAATACTGGACAGTGCCTACATGCTCTCACAGGTAACAGTTACCTGTAATTACTGTTGGAAATAACAGTACAATATCCACTAACACATGAACTTGATTCTAATATTTAATCAATCTAAATACAGCCCATACAAATCAGCTACTGCAAGTACATGTAAATGTACTTGCAGTAGCTGGAAAATGTTCTAGTCTTTTTGACCACTCAAAGCGCTTTTACACTACATCTGCATTCACCAGTCATACACATTCATACACTGGCGCAACAGCCGTGAGGGGCAATTCGGGGTTCAGTATCTTGCCCAAGGACACTTCGACATGCAACCAGGGGGAGCCAGGGATTGAACCGCCGACCAACCCGCTCTACCCCCTGAGCCACAGCCGCCCCTCAGACACAAAATCATTAGAAATGTAAAAATTCCATTGGAGAAGTAATTTGCATTTATTGATCCATCTACTGCTGAATATATGCATTTATAGGCTTGACGGATCAGGAATAGTCTAATATGTATCCTGAATAACCCAGCAGCTCTTTCAATCTTTAGCAAGTCTAAAATTTTACTCAAACTGTTTGTGCCAGGAAACATCTTTATGCAGCTTGCATGTCATCAAACTCACTCTCTTGGCTGCCAAACAGCTTAAGCAGTGATCTGTGAACTCTTGCTCTGTAACTGTGCAGCTTTTGCCCATCAGTTACAACAAGATGTCTGTTATATGCCTGAAGGTTTCTGTTCAGTATATAAGCGTGTGTCAGTCACCTCTGCCCAAACGCTCCACAAAAACAGCGTGGGTGATTGAATACTGACACACAGCTGGAAGCATGTAGCTGCATCTCTAAATCAGTTTAGGAATTTGAGGAAATAGACAAAAACCTGCTAATGTCTGGGCCATCTTCATTACTATGACCTATACCTCAAACTGGCAGCAATGTGGAATCTGCTACACGACTAGCATATCATTAGCTTTCTCCATTACCACTATATGCCATGTAACAAATAATGGAGGGTGTGTTCTAATGATTTTTGCATATGTATAATCCATGATTAAAACATTTTACTTTAAAAAGTGAGACTCCAACAGAGCTTTGTTTGTTAGATCTTTGAATACACAGACTGTTTGCTAATATTTGTTTACATCAGTAATACTGGGCCACCCTAGCTGCATCACTCTAGGGATGGCAACGTTGGTCTGTCGGTCGCGCCACCAATTTGGATGGATTGCCATGAAATCCACTGCCATCTGTCCAGACATTTGTAGTCCCAAGAGTATGAATTGTAATAACAATGTTCCCCTGACTTGTTATGTGTGCTATCTTCAGGTCAGCATTTATTTTTATGAAGGTAAATATGGTGCAAAATGCCAGAGCTTGTAGACTTGATGTGAACTCTTGTAGAATACGATGTGAGAACTTGTAGAACAAAACTATGTACTTGTATATTAAAATTTTCACTTGTATACAATATTCACACACATGTGAGTTGAATTTGAAGTCACAAAAAGAAAAAAAACACAGGAGAGCTTGTAGAAAGAATCTGAAGTTGTATGTTGAAATTTTCACTCCTAGAAAATATTCTGAAGATGAAGTCACAGAAAAAATATGCACACACGTGTAGATTGATGTTTACATAAAAACAATGACAGCTGCAAACTTGTAATGCAACATTACTCATAGTATTTTTTTTACTTGAGTCCTTTTTCCAGTACAACCACAACTCTGTGATTACAACCTCTAGAATTGGTCTCTGCAACTTCACAAATGTGCTCTCTCCTGTTTCCTGTGACGAATTTGCGCGCCTGGAATTTTACTACTTTTCTAGCAATAAATGTGGTACAAAATAAACTTGCAGTTGTAGCTGGGAGGGGGGGAGAGGAGCAGGGGGGGAGGGGATGAACCAATGAGAAATCAGAAGACAAAGCGCTCTTTTCTGTTCTCCATGTCGGTGGAGATCGGCGATGGCACACCAAGCCAAGGTAAGTTTCTAAATACATGTTTGGTAGGTTAGTACTGTGATTAAACGCTAAATAAATGCCACTAACACCTCACATTCCTTTTAACGTGTAACACTGTTAGTGGCAAAATGAAAGTGAATGTGCAATTTGGCTAACGTTAGCTGTGTTAGTTAACAAAATGTTATATCTAACATTAGAATAAAAAACTGAACAATAACGTTATTCAGATGCAGTCGAGATTTCAGCTTTATTACGGAAAGATCGCCTTTCATGGTACGTTAGTTAAAGTTAAGACTTAATGTTACCAAGAAGTTATTTTACTTAACTTAGTCTGCTAGCTAAGGTCAAGGCTAACTCGAAACTCGAAAAGTTAGCACTGGAACAAGTGATTGTGCTACTAATGTTATAAACTTAATAACCTCATCCTTCCGCTTAAGCCTGCTCTGCACCTTGTCTTCCGACACCGAAGCTAATTCAGTGTCAGTGTCAGTGGATTAAGGTTTTAATTAATAACATGCATAACGTCACTCTTGACACCCATGACATATGGTTGTCTATCCCATAATGTTACAGACATTATTGTAACACTGATTTTTCTCATCTAGGAAATGCTGCTCAGTCATTTACTGGACAGGCTCTACAACAGACTGTCAAGTTGCCTTGAACGTGCCCCTCTGGACCTAGATTACCTAGAGTTTGTATGTTCATAGGAGCTGGTAGTACTCAGCGCACTATCAAGCCAGCTTGAGATCCGTCAAGCAATCTACAATGCTATTACTGAGGTGCATCGCTCAGTGGATTAAATGATGATGAACTTGACATTCTGGTATCAGCCATCCACTCCAGCAACCCAAATGCTGGGTACCGAATGATGTTGGGTCTTCTGCAAGCACAGGGACATCGAGTACAGTGGCAGAGGATTCGTGCATCAATGCACAGAGTTGACACTGTAGGGATTGTGTCAAGAATGTCACAGTTGCGGTGTGTGGTTTGCAGGACATACTCTGTCCTAGGTCCCAAGTCGCTGATGCATATTGACACAAACCACAAACTTATAAGGTTGGTTGTGTTAGTCAAATAGAAAACTATTGCAGGACTTCTCCACATTGTATTAAAATAGGCGATATGATTATGCCTATTTTCTTCCCCCATGGCAATTTAGGTACAATGTGGTGATATTCGGAGGAATTGATGGCTTCTCAAGGAAGGTAGTGATAATCACTAATAATAGTAATAAATGAAAGCCCTTTTTACAGCATATCTTTTTATAATTTTAATATGGACACCCAATGAATGTAGTTAAAAGTTCAGTGTTTTGTGTCATGTTTTCGTTTACCTAAATCAAACTTATAACATAAAAATGTGTGGTTCAGGGTTTGATGGGGAGTTTTCTGTATAATTCCCGCAGATAATGTATCTCAGTGTTGCCAATAACAAGGCCTCCACTACCCTTGCCTTCTTCAGTGAAGCTGTTGAGAAGCATGGCTTACCACAAAGGTAAATGTTGTACATTTAAATTGATATATATGTTTAACTATAACACACTTCACCTATTAACTTAAAGTTGTGATTTAAGTTATGTCAAATATTGCAAATGCAGCCTTTTGTTCTGGCACATTCACTTTTCAAGGGTTTGGGGAGACCATGGGGTGGAAAATGTTGATGTGGCCCACCTTATGTTCTCCATCCGAGGAACTGAGAGGAACAGCTTCATTGCAGGGAAAAGTGTGCATAATCAGAGGTAACCACGAAAAAAACACAAATACATGCATACATACTTACGTGTGTGTGTGGGGGGGGGGGGTATGCATGTATGTATATGTGTTTCCTCTCTTCTCTTACTCCCCCAACATGAGTACAGTATTTTCCATTTCAGCTTGTCTTGTATTGATAATACAGAGGTATTATATTGCAACCAGTAGTCTTTGATGTTTTTATTGCTGTCATGGCATGTTTTTCTTTTATTGGCATTCTACAGTAATTATTCAGTTGGCTAATGGTTACTTTACTTGTTTTTGGTATTATGGCAAGTATTCTAAATTCTGAATTAATAATTAATTAACTAGAAGAATTCTAATTCTAAATTATGTGCGTTTAACAGAATCGAACGTCTCTGGCGAGATGTCTTCAGAGCGGTCACTTGCCTCTTCTACAATGTACTGCACCAGCTGGTGGAAGATGGTCTCCTTGACCTGTCCAGTAGTCTTCACCTCTTCTGCTGCCATTACGTCTTTATTCCCCGCTTGCAAGCCCAGCTTGATGGCTGGGACAATCATCCCCTTTCAACTGAGAGAAATCTCACTCCCAACCAACTGTGGCACATGGGACAACTACACAACTCTGAAGAGTACAATGACGAGGTATGTAATTTTCAAATATGCTCAGCAGAGAATGGAGTGAGGCAGGAGAAATAATTACTTAACTTTCAGGATTTGCGCATCCCTCTCATTGACTGGGAGAGTAGTGGCCTTACACCCTCTGATCCCAACTGTGGTGTATATTTTCCTGAGTGCGATTGCCCACTGAGACCTGGCTGGACTTCGTGCTGCCGTGGACCCAATGGGACCCTCAACATGCATGGGAGTTGACAGATACTTTGCTGCACTAGAGTATATGCACAGCATTGGCTATGTGTAGGCTTATCTCTATGAACTGCTTCTCATATCCCACAGAAAAAAAAACAACCCTATACAAATGTTGTGTTAGCTTGATGGGTGAGTTCACGAGCAAGGACTAAAGACTTTGAAGGAAACTTATTACTGCAGTGTGATTGAATTTTGTGTGATAGCTGAAAATAAAACATTTTGTTATTCCCATTGTTTATCTATTCTTTGCTTACATACATTTACACTTACAATTACATTAAGTATGCTTGTGATTCCTGACCTGTTTATCAGTTCAAACTATAATGTTGGTCAGAATGGTAAATATACTTGGGGATGGGGAGATATATATATATATATATATATATATATATATATATATATACACACACACACACACACACACACACTGTATGTACATGACTCTGTATGACATGAAATAGTGACTACTGGCATAAGTTTTGTAGATTTGTAAGTGACATTGTTGTCATGAAAGCAGAGATGGCAATAAAGTCAGTCCCTCTAATTCTCACATCCAAAGTTGGTACATACTTCGTTCAACTTTATTATACTTTGAGATATAAGTATTGAGTTTGAGGCACATAACAGAATGCTCAACTATGACTTGATTATTATCACCGTGACCTTTTACAACATTTCCTATTTTCTTGAAACTGACAAAACTTTACCTTCACCAAATCTAGTCTAGTAGATCAGTGACTCCATTAACAGTCTTAGATTTTCAGCTAAGAAAAGAACCTAGTCCAGGGAGAGCACAGAACATGGCCAAGAGGGGACTCTGTAATCGCTCCTTGACAGCAACTTTCAGCCAGCATGCACTTTTATACTTCAAGCATATTCTATTTTTTGTGTTTAAAAAAAACAAAACAAAAAAAAAACCAGTCGTTTCTCTTTTTTTAAATGATATAGTTGTGTTTTCAGAATCCCTCATGGGCTTCGAGGCTGTAAACATTTGATACGTGAATCAATGTAAAGATTCAATTTAAAGGAAACCAGAAAATGAAGAGACCTCATGAATTTAGAACTTGTTCCTCATAGAACACAAAAGGCTGCCATCTACTGACTATTTATGTCACAAACTACACACTTTCTAAACATGCATGGGTGATGTGCAGTGTGCCCTAACAATGGTATGCAGCAAAACTCAGACTTCATATTAGTCCAAACCCACAATCATTAGTTGCAATGCAACCTTCCAGATGATTGCAAAACTCTTCATAACCGGTGTAGTGACCAGGCAAGCGCAGGATGTGGAAACAGGTGGATGATCTTGGATGGTCTGCCTGCACAACTTCCACGGGCAGCTCCCAGCCCACCCAGAATTTTACCAGCTGCTTCAGTTTGTCTTGAATCACTGGAATGGAGGTCAATAATTACACCAATGGAAGAGAGGAGAACAAATGTTAATCAATGAAATTGTGATTTTGAGACTCAGTTTGCAATACAGATGCATTGTCCACTTTCTTCAATAGTTAAGTCTTGTAGCAACAGAAAATATTTAGCTTGTGAAGTCAGGGTATTTGGAATTAGGATACATAAATGTAAACATGGCAGGTGATGCCACAAAAAAAAGAAAGTATATTGCGATTACTACATGGATGTTGCACTCACATAAAATAAAAAAAAATAAAAAAAAATAAGAAACCTTACCAGTCAGAGGTTTGGACACACCTGATTGAATGTTGTTTTTCTATATTTTAGTCCTCTGCTTAAATGCTTCAAATTAGTTTTGTTAAAAATAGTTAAATTATTGCCTATGTATGAATTTCTTTCTAAAGCCTTTGGCTGTGTCCGAAATCCCCCACTACTCACTATATAGTCCACTATATAGTGAGCTCGCCATTTTGTAGTGCTGTCCGAATGTATAGTGATAATTATTATACTCTATATAGTGCACTCAATGTATCCCAGAATGCATTTTGAAAAGTAGTGTACAACCGATGGTCACTAACCAAGCTGTATACACACACACACACACACACACACACACACACCCCATCATGCACTGCGCTTATAGAAAAAAAAAAAAAAAAAAAAAGAACTGATTGTCCGACGGCAATGACGTAATTAACGGCGCCAAAATAACGATCGGGTAGTGTCCGAAAGTGCTGTTTTAATAATGCGAGTGAGCTCACTATATAGTGATCTACATACAACTGCCTGCATAGGGGGTAGGGAGTAGTGAATGAGGGGATTTCAGAAACAGCCTTTGAGTTTCCATCAAGGCAAAAGGAGGCTACAATCTATCAATTTTGATTTAAACACTTTTTTGGTCACTTTATAATGTTGCATGTTATTTCATAGTTTTTTTAAAGTCTTCACTATTATTGTAAATATATTACTTTCAATATGTTCTATAATGAACATATGGATCCTCACAGGAGAGCACAAAAACAATATACCGGTCTCCACAAACTGGGGTAGGTAGCCAGCAATTCTGCATTGGTTTGCAACAGGGCATTCATCGTCATCCTCCTTTTCCCTTTCTACCGGCCAGATTGTCTAGAACCATCTAAACGTAACATTTGAAGAATGACTGAATTGAACACAAGAGCAAAATAGATTAATTGAAGGGACGCTTTGCCGATTTTAAGCCACCATTAGTCATGTTTGTGTGGGCAAGAGGAAATAAAATACCTGAGTAGTGCATTCAACCATTGATTGACGTGGAAAAACCAATGGTACTACATCTGGCCTGGCCTCCAACAGTGGCAACAACATGGAGTTTTGCAATCCCTGCCTCAGCTGTTTTATTTGTTGCGAGGTTCGCCCGAACACCTACATATATTATAGATATTAGAGAGTTGTTAATTCATTCAAGGTGTAAGGATATACAAAAATATAGAAGCACGTATTTGTAAAACATTCCAGATGTGCATATGCACCTAGGGTGGCTTAAAATTCATAATTAGGTAGTAAAATATTGTACATTTCAGAAATAGATATTTAACAGTTTAACAGTTGATGAATGTAAATCCAACCAAAACAGAGCAATCCCTTTCCTAATGTATTTAAAGAGTATTGGTCGTTTGAGCTTACCGCATGCTGAAGAAGATGTTAGGAGACGGGACAGAAAGGACCCAAACGTAACACTCAGAGGGAAGGAGGTTTTATTGAGGGTTCACGGAGGGGGCTAGGGAAGAGGTGAGGGAGGAGAGGTGGACACCAGGGGATGCGGGCACGGAGGACCGAGGAGCAGGCGAAGCATGGGTGGTGAGGCGAGGAGCAGGGAGGAGCCGGGAGGGCGCCGTGGAGGAAGACCGAGAGGAGAGGACCGGAGGATGAGCCCAGCCGACTGAACGGAGGACGAGGGTGAGTGAACCTGGGAGGGAAAACAGACAGAAAGACAGGGTTAGTGACTGGAGCGACAGAATACAGGGAATATGAGAAAAAACAAGAAACATGAGAGCCTGAACGTAGAGGTGGCACCAGGTAAGGAGCAACGACGATCAAGCGAGGATGGTGTGGAGAACCGGGGTTGAAATACAGGCAGGGATGAGGTTGATTACTGGCAGGTGTGGCAGGCTGATGAGGTGGCAGGTGTAGGTAGTTGGCTGGGCTCAGGAGCCGAGGGAGAGAGGAGGAACACAGGGAGGCAGGCAGAGCAAAACAATGGGTGAAATAAAGTGAGAAAAGAAAAGGGAAACCAGGACACTCACCATCAGCTGGGCTGTCCCCACAACAGAAGACTTTGTAAAAGCCAGACATGGTTGCTTGCTGTCAATTCAGGAAGGTCCCAAGAGAATGCCAACTGGTTAACAGCGGCCCTCTGATCCTGATCTGGTCAGCTCACTGTCTCTTTTCTTCTCATTGTCTGCCTTCTTAGAATCATCAGCTACAGTAAGCTTAATGGATAAGTTTGAGAGAAGGTATATACATTTTGTGACATGCTTTTGTGTATTCATGTGGCATCCATACTTTACATTTGGCTCTAAACCTACCAGATGTATTGTTTCCCGGATGTCAATGCCCACCCTAGTATTTGTCCAATTTGTTCCTTCCAAGGTTTTCTTTTTTTTTATTCCTTGGTAATTGAAGTTGC